AAGAGGGAAGAAGAAAAGAAAGAGGGGCACAGGAGGCTGTGTGACAGGGCAAGCAGGAATAATGATAAATAGATGAAGGACAAAACAAAAAGTATAAAAAACAGGTTAAAGGGTTGAATTGAATTATGGTTTTCTTCACAGTTAATGAAGGCACAGAAGAGTGAATACCATCGTAGCATGTCCTGCCTATAAAATGGTTAAAACTAAACTAAACTAAACTAAACTAAAAACTCCATTTGGCTTACAAAGAATTAAGCATAGGATATATAAAAACGATTTCATGTGGACCCTTATTTCCCCCAAGGTGCTCAGTATATGATTCTTTTCGTTGTATTTTGTGGTCAGGTACACAAAGTGCTGGATTTTTCTCCCCAGCTGATAAAGGCCTATTAAAATGTAATGTACACAGAACTTCTACTTCTGGCAAGATGGCATAGATGCATTTTTCCCTATTTTTCTTGCTAAATACAACTAAAATCCATGGAGATGATCCATGGAACAAAATGAAGAAGACTAAAAAGTGGAGAGGAAAAAGCAGACTGGCTAGAGACCTTGGGAACTGAGGAGAACTACACAGTTACTTCCTCGGGTTTTCTTTTTGCCTTCTAACTCCCAGACTTGGAGCTGAAGAAGCCAGCCATCAGGAAAGGCAATGGGAGCACACACATACACACACACACATACACATAATGCCTCAACTAAAGACTGCTCTCTTTAGCCAAAGGACCAGGAAACGGGTGGCCTAGCAAGACAGAAAACTTTTAGGAGGCTCTACTTCAAAACCATATACTGTGGTCTATCACCACCCACACCAGCAAAAGTTGCATGGGGAACCTCGACTCCACCTCATCAGACTGAAATGACGTTCGTTCTTCAGTGCCCCCATGGAAGTGGTGTCAGAGAAGAAGGATTTCACCCATGCAGGGTGTAATGTGGAAAGGGCACGGGGAATCTGGAATTCCATCCTCACCCTGCAGCACCCTCCTTACCCTTTTTTCTAGGGTGGTGTGACAGTCGGCCTCTTGGGGAGTCAGGACTTTCCCTTACCACCTAGCAACAATGAGGCCCTCCCGTGGTGGGATCAGTGGAGACTGAGTGGGGAGCCAGAAGTCCCACCCCTGCTCAGCAGTAATGAGGAGCCCCCGACTTGAGTGACAGAGGAGGCCAGGTGGAGAATCTGGACCTCTACTTCCACAGTAACAAGGCGGCCCCTCCCTGCTCCCCCACCTTAGTGGTTGCAGAGAAAGCCAGCTAAAACAGTAGGCTTAAATAAGATCCAGATTTGCATAACGTAATATGAAAATGTCCAGGTTTCAATTGAAAATCACTCATCATACTCCAGACCCACTGTCACCACTCTTATTCTGTATTCTTATTCAGTTTCAGCACTCTTACTCCGTGCTGGAAGTTCTAGCTAGTGAAATAATGCAAGAAAAGGAAATGAAAGGCATACAGATCAGAAAGGAGGAAATAAAACTATTTGCAGATGAAATGATCACCTACTTAGAAAATACCAAAAAATCCACCCACGAAAAGTCCTAAAATTAACATGTAAGTTTAACGAGGTCACGGTATATACAAAAATCAGCTGTATACCTATATACTATCAATGAACACTGAAATTGAAAATATAATTTATAATTAGGTCTAAATCTAACAAAATGTTTACAGAATTTGTATGCTGAAAATCATAAAACTCTGCTGAAAGAAATTAAGGGAGATCTAAATAAATAGACATACAATGTTCATGGATTGGAAGATTCAACAGAGTTAAAAATATCAATTCTCCCCAAAATGATATAGTGCTTTAATTCCTATCAAATTCCCAGCAAGATTTTATGGTTGTAGATAAGATTATTGTAAACCCTATGTAGACAAGCAAAGAAACTGAAATAGCAAGGAAGAATAAAGTGGAAAGAATCAACCTACCCAACTGCAAGATTAATTATATAGTTACAATAATTAAGACTATGTGGTATTGGTAGATGGATAGATGCACAGAACAGTAGAACAGAAGAGAGAACCCAGAAAGAGATCCACAAAAATACGCCCAACCTATTTTGACAAAGGTACAAAAGCAATTCAATGGAAGAAAGATAGCTTGTTCAATAAATGATCGTGGGGCAATTGTACATCCATAGGTTAAAAAAAAAGTGAAGTTTGATTGAAGTCTCACACCTATACAAAAATTAACTCAAGGGGCACCTGGGTGGCTCAGTCGTTAAGCGTCTGCCTTTGGCTCAGGTCATGATCCCAGGGTCCTGGGATCGAGCCCCGCATCGGGCTCCCTGCTCAGCGGGAAGCCTGCTTCTCCCTGTCCCACTCCCCCTGCTTGTGTTCCCTCTCTCGCTGTGTCTCTGTCAAATAAATAAATAAAATCTTTTAAAAAAATTAACTCAAAATGTATCACAGACTTCAATGTAAAATGTAAAACTATGAAACTTTTACCAAAAAAGAATAGGAAAAAATCTTCAGGATCTAGGTCTAGATAAATAGTTTTGACTTAATATCAAAAGCATGATCCATGAAAGGAAAACTCAATAAATGAGACTTCTAGAGTTAAGAAAACTTTTGTTCTATGAAAGATCCTGTTTAAGAAGATGAAAAGCTACAGAAATGGGAGAAAGTCTTTGCAAGCCACATATCTGACAAAGGACTAATATCTAGAATAAAAAGAACTCTCAAAACTCAACAGAAAAAAAAATAAAAAATAATCCAATTAGAAAATGTTCAAAGGACGTAAGAGACATTTCACCAGAGAGGATATAATGGCAAATAAGCACATGAAAAAATATCCAACATCAGTAGCCATTAGGGAAATGGGAACTCAAACCACAATGAGATATCACTACACACCTATCAGAATGGCTAAAATTAAAATCAATGACAACACCAAATGCTGGCAAAGATGGAGAGAAAGTGGATCATTCATATATTACCGATGGGAATGTAAAATGATACAGCAACTCTGGAAAACAATTCAGCAGTTATCTTAAAAAATTAAACATGCAACTACTGTGTGACCTAACAGTGGCACTCCTGGGCATTTATCCCAGATGAATGAAGACTTATGTTCACACAAAGACTTGTACAAAAATGTTTGTAGCAGCTTTATTTGAATGGATACAATCTGGAAACAACCCAGATGTCCTTCAACAAACGAATGGCTAAAGAAACTGTAATAAATCCATACCTTGGAATACTACTCAGCAGTAAAAAGGAATGAACTATTGATACACACAACCATGGTACCATGAGAGACCCCAAAGAATCTCCAAAGAATTGTTCTGAGTGAAAAAAAAAAAATCAAAAAAGATTACCGTTCTTCACAGGCAGCAACCTCTTTGACCTCAGCCACAGCAACTTCTTCCTAGAAACATTGCCAAAGGCAAGGGAAGCAAGGGCAAAAATGAACTATTGGGACCTCATCAAGATAAAAAGCTTTTGCACAGCAAAGGAAACAGTCAACACAACCAAAAGACAACCAACAGAATGGGAGAAGATATTTGCAAATGACATATCAGATAAAGGGCTAGTATCCAAAATCTATAAAGAACTTCTCAAACTCAACACCCAAAGAACAAATAATCCAATCAAGAAATAGGCAGAAGACATAAACAGACATTTTTCCAAAGAAGACATCCAAATGGCCAACAGACACATGAAAAAGTGCTCAACATCGTTCGGCATCAGGGAAATTCAAATCAAAACCTCAATGAGATACCACCTCACACCAGTCAGAATGGCTAAAATTGATAAGTCAGGAAATGACAGATGTTGGTGAGGATGTGGAGAAAGGGGAACCCTTCTACACTGTTGGTGGGAATGCAAGCTGGTGCAGCCACTCTGGCAAACAGTATGGAGATTCCTCAAAAAGTTGAAAATAGAGCTACCATACGACCCAGGAATTGCACTACTGGGTATTTACCCCAAAGATACAAATGTAGTGATCCGAAGGGGTGCGTGCACCCCAATGTTTATAGCAGCAATGTCCACAATAGCCAAACTATGGAAAGAGCCAAGATGTCCAGCAACAGATGAATGGATAAAGAAGATGTGGTATATATATATACCATGGAACATTATGCAGCCATCAATAAAAGGAAATCTTGCCATTTGCAACGATGTGGGTGGAACTAGAGGCTATTATGCTAAGCGAAATAAGTCAATCAGAGAAAGACATGTATCATATGACCTCACTGATATGAGGAATTCTTAATCTCAGGAAACAAACTGAGGGTTGCTGGAGTGGTGGGGGTGGGAGGGATGGGGTGGCTGGGTGATAGACTTGGGGAGGGTATGTGCTATGGTGAGTGCTGTGAATTGTGTAAGACTGTTGAATCACAGACCTGTACCTCTGAAACAAATAATACATTACATGTTAAAAAAAAAAAAAAAAGAAGATAGTAGGAAGGGAAAAATGAAGGTGGGGTATCGGAGGGGGAGACGAACCATGAGAGATTATGGCCTCTGAAAAACAAAGTGAGGGTTTTAGAGGGGAGAGGGTTGGGGGGATGGGTTAGCCTGGTGATGGGTATTAAGGAAGGCACGTACTGAATGGAGCACTGGGTGTTATACGCAAACAATGAATCATGGAACACTACATCAAAAACTAATGATGTAATGTATTGTGACTAACATAACATAATAAAATTAAAAAGAAAAATAAAATCTTTTTTTAAAAAGCCTTTAAAAATAAGAGAAATATCATTTATAAATTTAAGGATAAAATGCACAAATCATCCCAGCTTGTTAGATACTGTGCTCCATCCTCAAATTCTTCAGTCTGTGTTCTTTTCCTGACAATTCTATGGTGGATGAGTTGGGTGGGTGGATGGTTTCTATATCATGCAGTTACAGTTTTTTTCAAAGGAAAACATGGTTAGTGGGAAAAACCTGGGTATACCAGTTGTTCATTGTGGGTCAGCCCATGTTTCAAGGGAACACCCCAAGCCTAAAGCCACCATCTAGTAAAATCTCACATTCCTTCCCACCTTCAGGAAAACCACTAGTGAAGACATCACGAGGGACTGTGATCAACACCGAGGAGCCTGCCATCACAGTTGATGTGGGAAGCACCATCAAAACAGTACAAGGAGTGAATGTAACAATTAACTGCCAAGTTGCAGGTGAGAAATGCATTCATGTGTTAATTCATCTGTTCAGATATTAATGGAACCCTGTGCTAGGTTGAGGGATACAAAGATAAATACAGATTCTACTCTCAGGGACTTAGGGCTAGTAAGAAAGCTAAGGCAAGAACCTCAGTCACCCTGAAAAAGGACAATGCTACAGAAGTTTAGAGGAGGAAAGATGAATTCTGGCTGGGATGGAGGTGGTTTCTTATTTCAGCCTTGCACACTGCATGTGCCAAGATGGAAGCAAAGAGTGTTCCGAGTGAACAAATTAGTGTGAAAAATTCATGGAAGTAGGAAAGCCCAAGACTGTAAGCAAACAGTGTGTGCTTTGGTCTGGCTGGGGCCCAGAGTAGAGAAATGGCGTGGAGGGGCTTAAGCTTTAGTATGCTGGGTTGCAATTGCGCCATGGAAGACCTTAAATGCTTGGCCAAGGAGTTCAGAAAAAGGCAGACAGAGAGTGGCATTAAGGAGCCAGACTTCCAGAAGAGTAAGCCAACAGCAGTGCATAAAATGGATTGAAGATAGGAAATACTGGGACGGAGAGGCCAGTTAAGAAGCTGTTTTAGTAGTCGGGGTGCCTGGTTGGCTCAGTGGGCAGAGCATGTGACCCTTGACCTCAGGTTTCTGAGGTCAAGCCCTGTGTTGGGTGTAGAGATGACTTAATACTTAAATCATAAAAAAAAAAAAAAAGCTGTCTTGGCAGTTTAGAGAAGAGATAATGGGGGCCCAAACTGAGGGCAGTGGTGATGGAAAGATAAAGGGTGGAGGAACAATAGAGAGGGGGCAGAGGTAAGACCAACAGGAATCTGGACCTTACTCTCATCAGAAGTGGGTAGGAGTCATGAACGAAAACAGTGCTATTAGGAGCTGTGATATATAGGAATTGCCCTCCAGTTGGCCTTGCAAACTCAGAGGCCTATAAGGAACAGAACATCAGAAGGAAGCAGAGAAGGAGTAGACAATAGGGGGTAGTAGTATGTTCTTTATAAAGGTATTTACCTTTCATTAAAAAGGCAAAAACACCAACACAGAGCCAAACAAAGCCCAGCTGCTGATTCTCCCTTCCTCTGGACCACTAGTGGGTGAGATCTACCCTAAGGGTCTTCACGCCCACAGTGCACAGAAATGAACAGCTGCTGTTCTAGGGCCCAGCTCCAGCCCCTGATTGCCATCCTCATCAGATATCCCTTCTGTGGCAAACCCAAAGCCGGGCTCCCTGGCCGTACTCAGTGGACAGGCAGTGGCACCCCTTCTCTGGGGCTTTCTTTGATCCTAAATCTCCACCCCAAAATCGGAGGTTTTACCTCTGCCTGTGATTTATAGGCCACATAACCCAGTTTAGAATAAGTAGGAGGAAGATCTTAAACTAAAGCATGTTGTTTCCAAAGAACAGTCAGTCTGGTTTTCTCTGAAATATTCTGGTAACTCCAGGAAATCAGAACTATAAATCTATCTCTGTCATCATACATTAGCTTCTCTTTGTAACACTTCCCTTGGCCTGTGTGTCCAGCCTCGTGAAACCTTCCTCAGTCATATCCCTTCTGGCCTGGCCCTCCCAGATAAGGAGTCAGACAAACCCTCTGACAGGGCTTCCCATGAAGGAGCTGGCCTTCATGCAGGGACTGATGGTGCATGTGGGGCCTTCTGTGCACAACCATCATCCCCCCCGCGGACCACTGTGAACATGTGCCCCAGAGACACAACACTGACTGGAGATATAATGGACCATGCTAGATCTCTTCTTGAGAGATGAGACGGGTAGGAGTAAGAGAATGGAGAGCAAGGGGGCATGCAACAAGGAAGTGGGCGCTTAAAGGAGATTGAGAGAACCAGAATCCAGGTGAGGAAGCATTTACCATGGGGAACCGGGGACACTAAAACCAGCTTTGGCCAATTCTTTCTTGCCACTTGGTGCCCTGTCTCCCTGACTTCATCCAGAGACTCGCTCTTGGTGACCTTATCGTGAGATCTCAGTTGTCATGCCCACTTTTTGCCTGGCCCTGCACATGACAGTCTTTATTTTGATTTTTATGCATAGAACTATGTGTGTTAATCATGGTTGACTAAAATAAATCTGTGTATCTTTGTCATTATGCCTTTTGTTAAATAAGGTATTTATTCAAAGTGGTGGGCAAGAGCCTGCTTTTGATTACACAGTCGGTCTGTGAATTTGCTGGACAAAGAAATCATCCTTGAGCTGAGTCTCCCATCAAAATACTGAGTGTTGTAATGCGCAATAGCAGTAGGAATGACTTTTACTTTACTAATATAAGTGGCTCTATGGCTCTCTTATGGTGTAATTTTAATGGCTATTTTATAGTCCATATTAAGAATATTACATTATTTATGTAGAGTAACTCATGTCCTCTATGTATGAGTTGTTAGCAGTTTCTCATTAAATAACTTTTTGTACATATATGCTTTACCTTATAAGATGCAGCCTCACAAATTCTTCCCAACCCTTGAACATAACAAATATTAAGCAATGAGTATGATGAGCATTCTTTTTGAAAAGTGATCCAATCCAGTGTATCACTCCCATACTTTTTCTCTACTTGAGAAAAGTTCAGGAGACCTAGTAGGAGATAAAGGGTTGGGGGAGGAGGGAGTGTTTCAGTCATTGGGACCAGCATGTGCAAAGGGCCTGAAGTAGAAAGAGCAGCCTGCCTCTAAAGGAGTCGAATATGGCTGGGGTGGCTGTAGTTCAGACAACAGAGAAGAAAGTAGCATGACTTGTGGCTGAAGGGTGGGGGAGAGCAGACAGGGGCTAGATCTTACATGCTCTCATAGATTATGGTACAATTTGAGATTTTCTTCTAAGAACAAAGGAAGTTTTTGAAGGACTTTAGAGATAAAATTGTTAGGACTGGTGATACAGAAATAAATAGTTGAGGAATCAGTGACAGGTAGTATATTCATTAAGGTAGGCTAGATTATGCTAATAAGACCCCCAAACATATCATGGATCAAACACAACAGAAGTTTATTATTATTTACATAAGAGTCCAGAGAGCTGGCTGCCCCACACAATCAGGGTCATGGAATGCTTGTGGCTCTAACACATGCCCTTCAAGGTCTCCCCAGGGGTTATCTCTAACCTGTCAACCAGAAGAGGGGGAAAAGAAAAGCATGGAGGGTGGTTGGGAAGGCTTTGAAGGGCCACACCTGGAAGCAACACATATTACCACTTCTCACGGTCCCTCTTGTCACCTGGCCACTCCCAACCACAAGGGATATTGAGCAACATGGCCTGGATGGGCACCCAGGCAAAAGAGGGAAACCGGTTTGGTGAACCACTATCAATGTCTGCCCCAGTCAGTACAGAGAAATGTGGAAGGCTGAAAACCTCCTTTCCAGACTTCCGTGGCTCTTTAGAATAATTGCCACGGCTGACGTTTTAGTTACTGTATCCTTTCCTTTTCTTGCACCAAGCCATGGAAGAAGCTGCTCAAGGGCATCATGTCAAGGTGCGCCTTTCAGGGGACACCCCAGCTCGAGATGCTGACAGGCTGTGTGTTGCAAGCAGCCTTCCAAGTATAACAAGTGGTCTGGTTAGCAAGAATATCCTATCTGGGATTGAAAAAAGACTATTACAGCATCACCCTACCTGGCAGCCCCGTGGAGATGAAAGGCACTAATCCTTATAATCATCTCAAGTTACAACCCATTATGACCAGACTCATTTACTGATTCTTTCAAGCAACAGGGAGAGCATTGTGTTGTTGATAAGATATGCCACCAAAGGGAAAAAGGCAAAGTAGGGTTTTTTCCTCCTCTGTTTTATACACAGATCATAGCAGGGAGGCCAGACTGTGGAGCCTATCCAAGTAACTTGTCAACAACATAGCGTTGGACTGTGTTCTGTGGTAGAGTATCTTTTCTGTCATTTTTTAGACATTTCTTTTGGTAAAATGTGTGGTCACATCACAACAGCCTAGGAAAAAGAAAAAAAAAAGTCTCCCACAACCTGACCAACTTCTCAACAAGAAGAGAGCTAACAAAGCCAGCACGCATGGGTTCCAGAAACCCCTCCTCACAATAATCTTGGTGTTACAGCTACAGCAGAAAGGTTCATTCTAGAGTAGAAAGTAAGAATTTGACAGTCCAGAAAGAGTAGCGTATCCCTGGTGGTCTAGTGGTTAGGATTCGGCGCTCTCAGAAAGAGTAGCATTTCTGATCTTCTCTGAAGAGGCAGTTGGGTCCAGGGGCAGGCAGCGTGGTGCACAGGGTAAGGTGGGGATCCGTGGCATCAAAAGGATGAGTGTGGATCTCCACCCTGCCATTTGTAGGTCACTGATTGGCCATGGGGTGAGGGGTAGGGAGAGACAGAGGCTATGTCCCCACGTAATCAGTCAGGGATTCAAACTAACATCACTTTAGGCAGATTTTTTCATCTCTTTGAACAATGTGATTATCTTTATAAAATGTTTGGCTTATAGCAAATGTTCACCAAGTGTTGTTTCTCCTCTCACATGTTCAGGACATTTTGCACAGTCCCTGACCTTCGTGCACTCCCTGTGTTCAGCTATTCTGAATGTCGGTCTTGGGCATGTGTATCTGGTACCTTTTCAAGGGACTCTGGCTTAAACAATGGCTGGTGATGTTCTCTTCAGGCTCATTATCATCTCTTGAGGGGGGAAAAAAAGGGAAAAAAAGCTCTCTGAGGCCTCGTTAATGTTTCCTCTTCCTTTCTTCTATGTTTGAAAGATGTCAGTTGTGAAAGAGACTAAAGAGATTCTAAAGTATCTTTTTCTGCCTGAGGCCCACAGTCCCAGGCAGGAAGCCCCCACATGTGCCACCAGGCACAACTCCTCCATCAGCAAATTCTCGATGCAGGTCCATGCTGAAGTGAGCCTGACAGAGATTTGCTAGTAAATATATTAAAGAACGAGTCCTACATAATTTCTCTCCCTTTGGCATAGCCATCACTTCTCTAAGGTTTTAGCTGTACAGAGACTGGAAGTAACTTCCTTCGACCCCTTGCTATCCTGAACGTTTGCATTTCTCCCATGAGCCCCCCACCCCCTACCCTACCTGGAGAATTCAGTCCTTTTGATAAGCACCTGTCTTATGCTGGCAAACACTCCGATTTCACGGGGGCGGGGTGGGGGGCATGAGGCAGAGTGATTAAGGGAATGGAAGAGGCTTGGACCCACTTCCTGGGGAAGTGAGAAATGGCTCCAGGTCTCTCTCAGGGCCTGGGTTCTCTCCCTCTGCCTCTTGTTTCTCACCCCCCCACACACCCCCCAATTTCCTCTCTTCTCCTCCGTGTCTCTGCCTCTGGCTGTCGGGCAGGAGCACGGGCCCTTCCAGAGAAGGATGTACTGGGAGTAGCTGGGAGACTTGCTGCAGGATTGTCCATGTTGCAGAGATCCTCAGGAGTGTTGGCGCCGAAGACACACATACCATTCCCATCAGCACAGTGGTGGAGAGAGTGTTCGCTCCCCCATTGACTTCGTGGAACCGAGGGCCCATTTAGTCCAGCTCCCTTACTCTACCTGCCTTGCTCTAGAACAGTCTTAGGTCCTAGCGGGGATTGTGTGCTTGCTACCCACAGCACTCTTCAAAAGAACATGCCAACCTACCCGCTGCATGTGAGCGCTTCATAACAAGGGAAATACTGACAGAAAATGATTTGTAGGACCTCGATTCTCCTTGTGTCTTCAGGACAGAAATGGCAGGGAATGTTTTCTTTAGCTTACCTTTCGGAGGCCTTCTCTTGAATGCTGTGGATTTTTTTTTTTTTTTTTTTTTTTTTTTTTTTTTTTTTACGTAAAAACTAAGCTCAAGGTCCAACGTCCAAGCTAGCATGGCTAGACATCATGATGCTCTTGCTCTCCCTAGTGGTGCTGCAATGAAAAATCAGCTTTTCTGCCTCTTACCTGCCTCTTCTGTCCAGGTATATTCTGAGGCCGGGCCAGCCTGGTCCTTCTCCTGCATTTGAGCATCAGGCATCATGAGGTATGCCTCTCCCGATGTGCCAAGCCTGCAGTACCTGAGTCTTTATCCCATTTCAGCAGCCCTGCCTCCTCCTTCCAGCCAGTTTGGTGATTCTTAGTGGTTTTCATTAAATTATTGGTAATTGGAAGAAAAGAGAAAACCAGAGAATCACTCCTCTGGTCCTTGTAATAGGGAGGAAGGCTCTACAGATTGGCCAGACACTTTGACCACCACCTTGGGCCACCGCTCCAGGCCCACCTGAGGCAGCCGAGCAGGCAGGATACCGGTGAATTCCCACAAGGCAGTTCATCATTGTTGAGGGAGTGTGAGGCCACCTTCCCGCCTCCACCCCACTTCCTCCTGCTGGGAGCCCGGGAGCAGCAAGTGCCCAGGGGGCCATAATTAGGGCGGCCACTGAGCTGGGTGTTACAGAGTAGACTGCTGGCAGATTCTGTTCAGCAGATTCAAGGACAAGTAACAGGTACACAGGCAATCCCTTGAAGACGTCTGTGTCCTCACTACTAGGCTACCCATTAAGGGCAACACTGTCCTTGCCCCAAATGCAGCATGTAGCCCCAACTCAGAAAAGCACAGGACAAAAAATCAAGCCCTTTGACTCTTTCTGGCTTTGACCCCATTGACCAGGATTTGACATTATTAACATACCCTGGATATACACCCAAGAGTTCTGAGTAAACTTTTTGAACTGGGCCAGCAGGCTGAGTGGCGGGGAACGGAGCTTTCTGCTCCCCAGAGACCTGTGAATTGATGCCACAGATTATCTGTCTCCCAACTCACTCTGAGCTCAGCCTCCTGCGGGGCCCCCTATGCAGACTATCTCAGAAGGCTTGTCCTGGCCCAGGGCCTGCTTGCCAGCATGGCAACCATCAGGAAACTTCCTAAAGCACGACGGCTGCCCCCTTGTCTTAGCCTACTCAGGTTGCTATTACAAAATATCCATAGACGAGGTGGCTTAAATGTCCGAAATATATTTCTCATAGTACTGGAAGCTGAGAAGTCCAAGCTCAAGGCGCCAGCCCATGAAGGTCTGTTGAGAGCTCTCTTCCTGGATTGCAGACCTCCATCTTACCACGTCCTGACACGATGGAGGGAGAGAGGGCTCGCTCTCCGGTCTCTTCTCATAAGGGCACATTATAATCCCATCATGACAACCCCACCCCCCTAAACCTAATTACCTCCAAATACTATCACATTGGAGGTGGTTAGAACATAACAACATACGAATTTGTGGAGAAACACATTCAATCAGTGACGCCCCTAAAGGACAGAGCCCAACTTCCAAAGGCAGGTACTCCATTCTAACTCATACACACCCTCCCCAACTCCCTCTCACAAACACGAATCTTGGACTGAAGAAAGAACAGGGTACTTTCTTTTTGTCTCTTTCTTTTGTCTCTTTCTCTGTGGTGCTATGGCCATAGCTCTGTGTTCTCTTGTTCTAAGAAAATACATAGGATCCAAAAATTACAAGCGTGTTTTCCATGTATAGTGTCAGTTCTGGTAAGGTTCCAGCAGCTTTCTTTTGTCTGATTCATACCAGACAAAATACTAATATTTTATAGCTTTTAACTTTTTACTGAAGTGTAGTATCTATACAGAAAAGGAGACATATCATAAAGGTACCAAGCCCACCAAACCAGCCCTTGGGTCAGGAACCAGAGAATTACCCGCGACCAAGCCATTTGTCCCCTCTTAGTCTCAACACCTCCCTGTTTGTCCCTCCCTCTCACAGGAGCCACCACCCTGACTACTAACAGCGTAGATTGATGTTATCAGGTTTGTCACTTACAGAAATGAGATCATCCAGGGTGTACTCTTTTGCGTCCAGCTTTTCTTACTTAATGTTTGTTTCATGTACTTGTCAATCATTCACTTTCACCGCTGTATAGATTTGGGGCTTATGTCTATCCCTGCTTTCCCCACAGAGTTTTGGGTACTTTCCTTCCATCTTGGCAAGTGCCCTTTACCAGCTGCCCACTTCCTGTTCTGTTAACTGGCCTCTCTCTTCCTGCCTCTTCAGTGTGAGCTTTAAAAGGCTAAAGCTCTCGAGACCACGGAGAGGTCGCAGGTATTATTTAGTTTGGCCAGAGGATGGTAGAAGACGCCCATGCAGATGCTTCCTGCAGAGTAGCCCCTGGGAGGGTCCGCCAAGCGGTGGTAACTGCCTCTGGGGTCACCTGAGTGTGTTTTGCTGATGTGTTTATTTTTTTTCTTCCTAGGTGTGCCTGAAGCTGAAGTCACTTGGTTCAGGAATAAAAGCAAACTGGGCTCCCCTCCCCATGGGCACGAGGGCTCCTTGCTGCTCACAGACGTGTCCGCCTCGGATCAGGGCCTGTACTCCTGCAGGGCAGCCAATGTCCATGGAGAGCTGACTGAGAACACGCAGCTGCTGATCCTAGGTAAACACCTCGAGGCTGACCGTCTAGCCCACCCTCCGCCTCCCTTTATCCCTGATCCGTTTAATTACATAAAAGCAATATGCCTTCCCTTCCTCCCACCTTAGGGCCTTCCAGTAGAAAGAACACAGACTCAGGGGCCAGGCAGACATCATTTTGAATGCTGGCTCTACTGTTTATTCAGTGTGTGACCTTGTGTGACCTTGGGCAACTCAGTTACCTTACTGAGCCTTAGATGCTGGTCTTGATGTGGATGCACGATGGGGATTGTCCGTGTAGGGGGAGGCAGCTGTCAGCCAGGGCTCAAGAAGTAAAGAAGTTATTGTTAATTTCTTATGCATTAAGGACTTCTTTGAGCATCAAATGAAAACTATTGATGACCCCCTCCAGAAAAATTCATACATATAAAATTTTTCATAGAATTTCAGGAAGTTCATAGTCCAGCCTACCTAAAGTCCACATGGGTACCCCCGTGTCTTAGTCCTTTCAGGCTGCTAAAACAAAACACAAACTGGGCAGCTTATAATAACAGAAGTTTATGTCTCACACCTCTAGAGGCTGGAAGTCCAGGATCAGGATGCCAACATGGTCGGGTTCTGCTGAAGCCCCTTCTCTGGGTTAGACCACTGGCTTCTTGCTGTCTCCGCCCATGGCAGAAGGAACAAGGCAGCTCTCCAGGGTCTCGTGTATAAGGGCACTAATGGCCATTGTGAGGGCTCCGCCTCACCTCCCAAAGGCCCCATCACCTAATACCATCACCTTGGGGGGTTAGGACTTCACCTATGAATTTGAAGGGACACAGACACTCAGACTATAGTACCCCCAAATATAAGAACCTCTGACTAAAGAGTCTAACACAGTTCTTGGCATAACACAGATATTAGAAATAACAACCACTGGGATACCATCTAATATTCACTGTTGCCCAGTGCCAGACTCTGCCATGTTGTGAACAATAACCCTTCCATCCCCTGGACTAGGGACCCTGGGCTTATCTGCCCCAGGGAGTCTGGAACTTGGTGGGATGCAGTAAAAAAGCTTGTTTTTGTCTTACCTTTAAAAAAAAAAAAAAAAGCTCTCTATTCTGTTTCATTGATCAATGTGTCTGTTTTTGTGCCAGTACCATGCTGTCTTGATGATGACAGCTTTGTAATAGAGCTGGAAGTCCGGAATTGTGATGCCGCCACCTTTGCGTTCTTTTTCAACATTCCTCTGGCTATGCGGGGTCTTTTCTGGTTCCATACAAATTTTAGGATTATTTGTTCCATTTCTTTGAAAAAAGTGGATAGTATTTTGATGGGGATTGCACTGAATGTGTAGATTGCTCTAGGTAGCACTGACATCTTCACAGTATTTGTTCTTCCAGTCCATGAGCATGGAACGTTTTTCCATTTCTTTGTGTCTTCCTCAATTTCTTTCATGAGTATTTTATAGTTTTCTGAGTACAGATCCTTTGCCTCTTTGGTTAGATTTATTCCTAGGTATCTTATGGTTTTGGGTGCAATTGTAAATGGGATCGACTCCTTAATTTCTCTTTCTTCTGTCTTGTTGGTGTATAGGAATGCCACTGACTTCTGTGCATTGATTTTATATCCTGCCACTTTACTGAATTCCTGTATGAGTTCTAGTAGTTTTGGGGTGGAGTCTTTTGGGTTTTCCACATAAAGTATCATATCATCTGCAAAGAGTGAGAGTTTGACTTCTTCTTTGCCAATTTGGATGCCTTTGATTTCTTTTTGTTGTCTGATTGCTGTGGCTAGGACTTCTAGTACTATGTTGAATAGCAGTGGTAATAGTGGACATCCCTGCCATGTTCCTGACCTTAGGGGGAAAGCTCTCAGTTTTTCCCCATTGAGAATGATATTCGCTGTGGGTTTTTCATAGATGGCTTTTATGATATTGAGGTATGTACCCTCTATCCCTATACTCTGAAGAGTTTTGATCAAGGAAGGATGCTGTACTTTGTCAAATGTTTTTTCTGCATCTATTGAGAGGATCATATGGTTCTTGCTCTTTCTTTTATTAATGTATTGTATCACATTGATTGATTTGCGGATATTGAACCAACCTTGCAGCCCAGGGATAAATCCCACTTGATTAGCCTGGTGATTGGCTATTAAAGAGGGCACGTTCTGCATGGAGCACTGGGTGTTACACGCAAACAATGAATCATGGAACACTATATCAAAAATTAATGATGTAATGTATGGTGATTAACATAACATAATAATAAAAAAAAGAAAGTTAAAAAAAAAGCAATGATTAGAGCCCTCATGCTAGTTTTCTCACTAAGAGAAAGCTATCGTTCTAAGAAGAAAAGGAAACTATGAGAAGTATGAAGAATCACACACCATACATACATACACACACATTCACATACTGGAGACCTCCTTGGGGAAAAATAATTAAACTTTATACTCGTATTTCCATACCTCCAATTGCTGATAGACCAAAGCCTAGGGTCTCTAGCCCTTGCCCGCTCAGGTTTCAGAGAGCCCCCAGCAGGTTTCCATCTCACCAGTGGCTGCATAAACCTCCAGTCATCTTAGAAAGCCACAGGAAGGCAGCTCCATGACAGATGTCATTTGTTCTGTGTTGGGTTTCATCCGGCTGAGCTGCTTGCGAGTCTGGAGCCCAGGGCCCAGGCACGGTTGCCCCACACTGAGTTAACGGGGCTTCCTGTGGGCTTTTCCTCCTGAAATAAGCCTTGATTGTCACCTGCACTGACAGAGAGAAGAGCCTAGGATGCGTAGTTGCTACAGTAGCTTTGCCAATGAAGGGCATGTGTTCTGCCAGGCAGCTCTTGCAGCATTGCGACTGAAGACCAGTGTGACCGTGAACATGGAGCTGGTTGAGTAGGACATCTTCCCATTTTAATCAAACGTGATGGGAAAAAAAAAAAATCACTGTTTAGACTCTTAAGTGGAGGGCTTTTCTTGATCAGAAGCCTTGGTTTATTAATCCAAGTATTTTTAGTTGTATGGGTGGCTATGAACATAGAAATAATGTCTCTTTTTTTATTTTAATCAGCCAAAATGGGGCTTAATTTTTTTTTAAAGATTTTATTTATTTATGAGAGAGAGAGAATGAGAGACAGAGAGCATGAGAGGGAGGAGGGTCAGAGGGAGAAGCAGACTCCCTGCCGAGCAGGGAGCCCGATGCGGGACTCGATCCTGGGACTCCAGGATCATGACCTGAGCCGAAGGCAGTCGCTTAACCAACTGAGCCACCCAGGCGCCCTGGGGCTTAATTTTTAAACAAGGGATTTTGTGTATAAAACTGAGCTTTCAGGCCAAGCTCTGTAGCATGGAGACTTGATGTGTAATGTGACTTTCATTCATTTATTCCTGTGGCCGTTGAATGAATATTCATGACATATTGCCTCTAAGTTCCATCTCGAGCGTTGGGATAAATTTAAGAGGTGACCTCTGTCTTTGGAGAATTTATGGTTTCCCTCGGAAGATCAAATGGACATGCACCAAAGAAGAACAATATGATAGAAGTTCTAAGGGCATTAGGAGGGGCTGACATTTGGCCCAGGAAGATCTGAAGGTTTTGAAGATGGGACATAACCTCCCTTTTTGACTTTTAGGAAATAAGCAAAGGTTTCTTGAGTTTAATATTCTTTTTTCAAAGATTGATTGATTGATTGATTTGAGAGAGAGAAAGCACGAGCAGGAAGGGCAGAGGGAGGGAGAGAAACTCAAGCATACTCCCCACTGAGCAGGGAGCCCAACACAGGGCTGGATCCCATGACCCCAAGATCATGACCTGAGCCAAAACCAAGAGCTGACTATTAACTGACTACACCACCCAGGCATCCCTTGAGTTTAATATTCTTGAGGGACTATTCAGTATTCAATTTCAATATCCTCAAGGGAATATTAAAAAAATGGGTGATGGGCATTAAGGAAGGCACATGTTGGGATGACCACTGGGTCTTGTGTGTGGGTGATAAATCACTGGATTCTGCTCCTGAAACCAGGGAGGCACTATATGTTAACTAACTTGAATTTAAATTTTAAAAATTAATTACTTAAGTTTAAAAAAATAAAAAAGATGGGAAGAAGAGACTCTAGGCTGGAGTAAACTACTACCATCAGTTCCTAAAATCCTGGTATTTCAGAGTAAAAAGAGATCTAGGAAATGATGAGTTTCCTCACCATTTTATAGACAAGGAAACTAAGGCTTAGAGGAATTAAGTGACTTGCCCAAGTTAGTGAATGACAGAGCCACAGCTCAAATAGAGCATTCCCGAACCCAAACATGATGTTTTCACCTATACCATATAAAGAAGATTTTTAAATTATATATAACATATATAATGTCTTTATAATTTATATAGATAGATAGATACAGATATAAAAATCTCAAGCTCATCATTGTTTTCTGTATGCAATGGTTTTTTGCAGTCAAGGCAGAGTAGACAGAAGGCATATTTCTGAAGCGGACTCTCAAGCCATTATGACTTACTTGCCACCCTTAACAAGTATCTGACAAGGTGACAGGCACAAAATAGGCCCTCACTGAACACTGATGAAATGACCATCAGTTACAAAAGAAATACTCCTGCTTCTCTTCAGACTCCAACAAGTGCTCTAGAGAAAAAGACGGGAGTCCACCTTGGGAGACGTAGGAAGTGGGGAAACAGGATTCTGCTTCTTTTCTCAGAGAATCTTGAGTCCTCTCACCACCAGCTTCAATAGGTGCTCTCCTCTTTATTTGTCCAGTGGAAATGATAAGCCACTCTATTTCCCATTTGTGTCACTTTGGGCTCTGGTTAACTAGACCCCTGATGACTTCAGCCCTAACTCCTAAGATTTTAAAGAACAAATCATCCCTGTCCTGCTTATGTGGTCCTACCTGGGCATAAAAATCCAGACCACAAAGCAAATTCACTTTATCAACTTCATAAATAAACTTTTTTTCATAGAAAATGTCACTGGTAGGCTTCTTTTAAATAATAAATTCCTGGGTCACCTGGATAGTGCAGTCAGTTAAGCATCTGACTCAGTTTTGGCTCCAGGTCATGATCTCAGGGTCGTGAGGCTGAGCCCCGTGTCAGGCTCAGTGCTAGGCGTGGAGTCTGCTTAAGATTCTCTCTCTCCCTCCCCCTCTTCCTTCCGCCCCCCCCCCCCCCGCCATGTGTGTGCACTCTCTCGCTCTCCCTCTAAGATAAAAAATCCCTGTGGTGATGTATCCCTATCTGTGGGGACAGTAACAGAGTGCTCTAAAGGATACCGTAAGAGTTAAATGAAAAAAGGAATGAAAACTATTTAACACAGGACTTGGCATATAATAAATGCTGAAGAAGTGTTGGCTTTTTAAGAGTATTTTTATAATATAGTTTAATTTGCCTACACATTTATAGAGACCCAGTGGTACTGTGGTATAAAGTGGTATACAGTAAGGAACTCCTAAAATCAACATGCCTGATTCTTATTACTGACCTTACTGTTTTGGGCATCAAATACTAAGCTGGAAATTCTGACTCACCTTGATAGGTACACTTTCTCTGTGGGAAAAAAATGATGCTAAAAGGCAACCATAATGCCTGCCTTAAATACATGCCCATCTTCCCTTCCCCCCTTAATACAGCCTTTATGCTTTAACCTGCCTGACTCCCCATCTGCCTTCCCACAGATCCCCCCCAAGTCCCCACACAGTTGGAAGACATCAGGGCCTTGCTTTCAGCCACTGGACCGAACCTTCCTTCAGTGCTGACATCTCCTCTGGGAGCACAGCTGGTCCTGGATCCTGGGAATTCCGCTCTCCTTGGTGAGTCCAAATCTCTGGAACATTGGGATGAAATCCAGGGCTGGACAGGATTTATGGATGGGTGACTGCTTGCAGGTGGGAGGGAGGCAGCAGGAGGGGGTGGCCAACAGGAAATCACTAAATTGCCTACAGAATCCAGACTCACCAGTGGAAACTTGGCTGACTTTCCATGTGAGGTGAGTGCAGATCTTAGTCTGGACTCTAGCTTGTCTAGATTCCAACATGGCTCCTTTCTGAATCCTCTTGGGCTAATACCACAGTCAAGATCCTCTCAATCAGATTGACTCACTGAACAGTAAGTAAGTAAAAAGCAGAGTAGTAAAAATAGCTCCTATATCTCCTCTCCCCTTGCCAACCATACCCCAGTGTGCCGCCATGACCTCCTCATAACTAAACTAGAGCTATCATCAGCTTTCAAGAAGAAAAAGCTAGATAATTCTATTTAGGCTAGCCTTCTATAGGTAGGGCCTGAAACCAACACAGATGGACTCCTCAAGCAAGTGTTTAAATAGCTTTACCAAGTATAGCTTCTCTGGCATCTGTCAATGGGAACCTTCACCAATTATTGCCCACATGGCTGGTGCCCTCTGGTAGCAGAGAGCTTTATGAGGGCATCCAGGCCCTGGACCCTTCACACCAGAATCATGGAGATGCCACAGGAACCTCTGTACTCCCGTTATGGCTTCTGGAGAGGGTCAAGTCAAGGTGGAAGAGAAGAATTATCTGCCTTCAAAAGCCTGGGGGGAAAAAAAAACAGGTCTACAAAATGGGGGAAATCACCATGCTAACTCTTTGTGGCCCCAAATGTTGCTAATGGTAACTAAAATTATTCCTTTGGCTCAAAGTTGCAAGTTTCTCTTTTCTCCTCCCCACCACCTAGCAAGGAGCAGGAGGCCAAAGGGTGCCTAGTCATACTGGCCATGTTGCTAAGTCAGACTTATCAACATGGCCACAGGGACTGGTATAGGATTACAAACAGAAAGATTACCTTCAGGTTTCATTATGATCTAAAATTAACAAAGAATGCTCATAGTGTATGAGCATATGGAAAAAGCCTATAATTTCTCTGTTTCTGATCTGATCCTAAAAATAAGACACATATAATGACAAGTAGCCCTATTCTGTTTCCCATAACTTACACAAGCTTGGCATTGAGTTTTTCCACATCACGTTAATCAGAATTCATGGAAGTTTCAAACTGCTTTCTTTTGGCTTATAAATGGTAAAAGTATTCCAAATTAAATGTGAGCATTGTAAACTTTTTTTTATTTTAGACTCATCACTATGAGAAATTGTCATAACTATTAATCATAGCCCAGTCACTAGCAGAGTGTGCAGCAATGGTTTATTTTCAAGTTCAGTAACTCTTGGTCACTCAGGTGCCATTCAGCATGCTGGAAAAATTAACCCGCTCATATTTTTCCGTGATAGTTTTACTTTCTTTCTCCCTATTCTGGAATAATATTTTGTCTCATTGTAGTCATAAGCAATAAGAATTTATTGTGCTTTATGTTGCTGCATTCCATCACTAGTTTATAGTGCTCTGTTACCTTAGACTGGTATTTAACTCTAACAGTTGAGAGACACCGTAATACCCTAGTTCACATCCAGACTGTTCCATTTGAATGGGACAGCGAGTCAGTAACCATAAGTTCCCTGAACGTAACTGCTTAGGCAACATGGACTCTAGCAGTGAATGTTGATGCCTCGCCAGCATTGTGCTATGGGAAATAGAAAGCAAACACATACACACACACACACACACACATATTTATGATGTGAATGTTTTAAATATTTGCCTAGACTCAGCTGATAGTAAATTTGGCAATCACATTCTGGAATTATTACATAAACACTTTTAAGAGATAATGTCTTACAGGTTTGGCAAACTATAGTCCCGGGGCCAAATCTAGATCACTGCTTGTTTTTGTAAATAAAGTTTATTGGCATGCAGCCATGCCCATTTATTTACCTATGTATTGTCTGTGACTTCTTTCATGCCATGATGGCAGAGTCAACTACTTGTGACAGAAACCATACGGCCCAGAAGCCTAAAGTATTTCCTTTCTAGTCCTTTAGAGAAAATGTCTGCCAATCGCTGATCTAGTCCATCCACCTCATTATGTAGAAAGAACACCAAGGTCTATGGTGGTGATCACACATCTCTTGTTTCTGAGGAGGACCAGTCTTTGCACCGTACCACTCTGTCTTTTATCCTGTCACTAGGTTAGGTTTTCTCCATGAAGTAAAATAGCCTGAAAGAAAAAAGCAAGCCAACAAACCTGACTTATAGTAGTAGAAGTCTTTCTCAGGACGGTCAAAATTAGATGACCTTGGGTGCTTCCAATAAGAAAACACATGATTATATGTGGCTTAAGAAAAGCAGTTCAATCTCTTCTCAGCCTATCTTATTTAGGTCCAGAACCTGTTAGGATGTCTCACAGAATGTATCCATAGGGTTTGGTCCGCCCCCCTATATTTAGTCCCAAACTCTCCTTCATGAGCAAGCAAGCTGAAATGCCCAGGCAGAGGGACTCCTGACTTCTCTGCTGGAACCTCATGCCATGCTAGTCTTATAGAGAGCCAAACAGCACAAACCTTTTCTCGTCCCTTGTGATTTACCAAGAGGAGAGAGATTCAGGCATTCAAACCTGGGTTTGCAGAGTAAAGTTTTCCCATGAAAGAAGCCATTGTGCCTTGCCCCTCTCCCCAGCCGGGGGCTCAAGGGTCACAGCCAGCACACGCAGCAGCCTCTCAGCAGCATCAGCAGGCCCTCCAGGGCCCTGCATGGTAACAGTTCCACTTCTCAGAGCCCTTCCAGCCCTGGAGAAGCCAGGCAGTGAGGCCAAGGCCCACCCACGACAGCCAGGCGGTAGTGTTTTCCTTCTGACCACCGGAGACCAGCAGCCTGCACATTTTCTTCTCTATTCATTTGAAGACCTAAGAACTGCAGAGCATGGTTGGCCTAGATGCAGTTCTGACAAATCATACCACACTGATGAGGGAACTATGGCTGGAATGTATGAGACCCAAATCTAGAGTTTAAGGTGCAGTTTATAGTCATTGTTTTCATGTAAACCCCTCAAAGTAGGAGGATATTTCAGAAAACAGTTGAATAAATATTAATGTTCAAAATTGAAAGCCTTGGTGAAGGGCCTAAGAAGGCAATATCTCAAAGATAGATCAGTTTGCTGATTGAATAAATATTTGTTGAGTGCCTAATATAGACACTATGCTAGGGGCAGGGATACACAGTAAATACGATAGAAAAACCTAGCTCTCATTTATTCAGTCCAGAAAAATTTATTGAGCATTTACTAGGCATTAGGCACTGACCTAGATCTGAAGATACAGTGACACACAAGCAGATTAACATACCTGCCCTTGTTTGGCTTGAATTCCGGTACACACTTCAAGTCTGATGGGGAGAGTTATTCAAGTAAGAAGACTGTGATCAAAATAGTAACTACTGGTGCTCTGGGGACATATGGCAGAACAGCACCCTTGGCCTGAGCTTTAGGCAAGCTTTCTTGAGGAGATATTTGAGCTGAGATTAAAAGAGAGACTGGAAGCTATCCAAGTGAAGAGCGAGCATCCCAGACAGAGGAGATCCAGAGCATTCCAAGGCAGAGGAACCAGCAGAGGTTCTGAAGCAAGAAAGCCTAGAGCATTTAAGGAAGCATCAGGGCAGTAACTAAGGGGAGAATGGCCTAAGATGAAGGTAAAGAGAGAAGCAGGAGCAAGTTGCTGGCCCTCTGTGAGCCCTGGTAAGACTTTCACACTTTGCACTAGTTGCAATGGGAAGTCTCTGAATGGTTTAAAAGCAAGAGAGAGACATCATCTGATTTGTGTATTAAAAGCCTGTTCTGGCTACTGAGCAGGGGATGGGTTCCAGGGAAGAGACTAGGTAGAGTTCACCATTTAGGAAGTATTTCAGGAAAGAGATAACCATGGGTGAGAGTAGAGAGCTGGAGAGAATGGGAAGAAGTGAACAAATTCAGGGATTTGTAAGATGTAACACCGACAGGGCTTGGTAAATAGGTTAACGTCAGGGGCCAATGGTCATCCATACGATTCTCTGGAAAGCTCATGTACCTGCTTTGTGCTGATGACACATTTCAGACCACTCAAGTCGACACATTTCAGACCACTCAAGTCAACACATTGGAATAAAATGGAGACCTGCCTAGGTGTACAACTGTAGAAAGTGTTGTTAAAAGATAGTCAAAGATTTTGTTATTAAATTCTGGTTCATTTCCTTTACACACACCTGTCCAGTCTCCCTTAGATGCAGGGTCCTATGCCCTCCCCCAGCATTGGAGCTCAGAAGCAGTAGGAGAGAGAGAAAAGTCAGTCATGTGTGAGAAAAAGCTCTAAAGAGTTGCAGAAAAAGCCAAAGGGAACAGGGAAGGAAGGACCCCTTTCTTTGGCGAAGGGAAAATCAGAGTGGGCTTCAGAGAGGAACTGTTCAAACTCAGTCTTAAATGATGAGTAAAAGCATTCCAAGCACTGACGGAATAGACACTTACTGAGCAACTTCTGTGTTCTGGGCACCATCGAAGGCACTGGGGATGCAACAGAGAACAAAATAAAAATCCCTTCTCTCATACAGCTTTCATTGTGCTATGGGAAATAGAAAGCAAACACAATGAAGTAAATGACATAGTATATTAGAAGGTATGGAAGGCACAGTATATTAGATAAGTGCTATGGAAAATAAAGCAGGGAAGGAAGGATGGATAGTGCCTGTGTGGGAACGAGGATGCAATTTTAAATTAGATTGGCAAGACAGGGCTCATCAAGAAAGTTATCTTTGAGCAAAGACTTGAACATGAACTGTTGAGCCTTGCATGTGTCTGGAGGAAGAGAAGAAGGGAAGAGAGATAAGAGGAGGGGGGAGGGGAGGGGAGGCAGTGGAAGAGCCAGTGTGGAATCCTTGAGGCAGGGACATGCCTAGTGTATTCAGGGAACAACAAAGAAGCTAGTGTAGTGGGGCAGGA